CTCCCTTTGAAGCAGACTGGACAGCTTCCTCAAGCTGGCGTTATCACTCCCTCTAACCACTCTTGGCAGGCAATCTAATTCCCCCTGAAAAGGTCACCGCCATTTTAACTGCCTTTCAATCACATTAAGCACGCTGCTGCTCGTGCTCAGAGCACTGCGCCTGCAGCTCTCCTGACTGAGGTGCGATCGATAAACTGACATCCTGTCCCCCAACTCGATCTCCCCAACCACCCCATCCGCTGCTCGCCTCCTTCCCCTCTCCTGGACAAGCTGCCTTACCAGAATGGACAGCAAGAGACCAAGTGACAAAATCCTCTCCTCAAATCCAAAGCAGCTGAAGGGAGCCACTAACCTGACATTTACTAATCTTTGTCCCATCTGCTAAGAAACAGAAGGGTGCAAGCATCCCCCCACCGCCTTTCCGAGACCTACAGAGGCAGCGACTTCACAGGACAGTTTGCTTAGGCATCAGTCCAGACACCTTTGAAGCTGTGTTACAAAGAACAAGCCTCCCTCAAGCTTCCCTCAATGCAATCATTACCGTTATCTCTCCCCCCGCACTTCTTTTTTTTTTCCAGTTACGAGTTATGTGTTCCACCCATCGATCCCTGTGTAAGACACTGTTTTAAGTCCTCTTGCCTTTTGACTGTGCTAAGCCGTTTAAGAGATGACAGCGGCTTCTATCAGTGCGAAGCTGATGTGATTCTTTTCAGATAAAGTACTTTTTTTTCAGTCCTCTCCCCCCCCCTTTCCCTTCTTTCAAGTAAGAGACATACACACAAAAAGAGACACTGAATCTTTCAAAGAAAAAAAACCCTTTTGAACTTCCCTCAGGAATTCTTTAAAGGGATAACCTTATAGTGTAAACACTGAGGGTAATGTGCATCCATTCTGGAGAGGAACAGAAGGATTGCTACAAATATGTTGAGTGTTAAAAAAAAAAACCATCAGAGAGGGAGCCCACTTGATGCTTTCACTTGCGAAGCCTTGTTGGCTTCCTAAACACAGAAACTCATTAGACAAAGATGGCATGAAATAATCCCCGGCAACAAAGAGCTTTGGAGAGGGATGATCCAGAGATGTGGGGATAGATGGTTACTGAATGTTCAGGTATTTCAAGAGAAATTTTAGTCTTGTGACACTGGACCGAGATAAGGAAATATTTGATTATTATATCTATATAGCTTTTCACTTTGAAGCATGAGCTTGATTTAAACAGCATTTGGTATTTCATGCTAGTAGCCTTCTGCACCTATCCCGAACACAAACAAGAACTCTCCTACTAAAAAAGCCCTACTTCAAGGGGGACCTCTGCTGAAACAAAGTGGTTCGAAATCCTATATAACTGCCAATAATCTTAATTTACAACCTGAATGCTTCCAGTTTTGGGTAAGCAAATTAAGTGATAGCAAATGATGCTTTAAGAATTCAGGACAGCTATAAGTACCAGATATTTCCTGACTGAATACCTTCATCAAACCCAACAGTTTAAGAGACAACATACTGATCCCTGCACTTCTTAGTTATGTCATATTCCTACTTGCTGCCATCTCCTGTTCTTTCCAACTGCTGTCTCAAGTATGCCAAGCTGTGGCAGGAAAGAAAGTCTTCTTTGGCTCTGCTGCACTAGATCTGACCAGGGATTTGCAGCTGTAACACCAACACAGAAGACAAAGAATTTCCACCTTCCAAGACAGCCTCTCAGGTAAGAGGAGCAAGTCTTCCCTGCCAGCACTTTGGAAGCAAGAAAGTATCATCCTAGAAACCACATAAGTGAGAGTTTCAGCCTGTGACTGCTCCCTAAGTATTAGACCACCTTCCACAAAATCTGAGCAAGATTGTTAATTTCCCTGACTTTTCTGTTTTCGAGAAGAAAAAACCTCAAGATTTACCAAATCTTAACCCACCTGAAATCCTAGCAGGATCTTTCATATAGTTAGCAAAGAGCTTTCCTCACCTTGAGAGCAATATGAACTTTGCCCATTAACCAAAAACGATGAAAAGAAGCAACCATGACCTGTGTTAAGTTTAAGTCACTTCTCTAACACTGCCCAATGGTCTGACTCATGTGATACACGCTGGCCACAGCATCCTGCTCCCCCTTCGCCCAGATGTGACATCTCCTCGAAGCAACACACCATTAAAGCAGAAATTAATGAGACACATGGACATGTATTTTCCCCTCTGGTTTTATGTATTTCCCCATGTCATCTCTTTAGACACTGGTGACATCCCTGTAGCCTGGCAAAGCTGTCTGGTATTATAAAAGGCCTTCGATTTCCACATCGCTGCTGCTTCTCAGCAAAGAGAACAGAGCCAAACACAAAGCCTCAGGTGACAGGGGTTAATGAGGGCCTTGCCAACTTCAGACAAAGCAGTTTTAAGCACTGGAAAGCATCTCCAAAACTTTGTGCTGTGTTTCAGGGCTGTAAATTAAGAATTCTGTCCCTAAAACGGGGCAAGAGCCAACACTGGCAGAGAAAGGAAAAAGACAGTCACCTTAAGGTTACCCAAGAGTGCACAAAGCAGGCCTGACTGATGGAGACCTCTGAATGCCAGCAGCCAGAAATAACATGAGAGCCACAAAAAGGAGCATGAAAAAGCATTACTTGCTTAAAAAGAAATACAATCAGCCAACTATGGGAGATCATTCCAGCTTTGCTATGGCTTCCCAAATCAACAAACTTCTTGAGCACAGTAGTTGGGTACCCTGCAGATATTATTTGGTCATCCCAACACTAGGTAAAAAGTTGGTGGCAAAAAGTTCCCCTGTTCAGGGAAGAGGACACCTCTCTAGAGGAGCATGGCAGCTGTTGAATCCAGCTGCCAGCAGAGGTGTACTGCAGAGGAGGAAGGTCAGGGAGAAACGCATGTGCTAGAGACCTGCCAGCTGCTCAGGTAGAATAATTTCTTCAGCCATGGTTCAGCCATCAAAAGCTGCACAGAGAGACATTCCTCACTACAAATGCTACAGGGAGGTTCCTGTGCTTGTGAGCTGATCTAGAGACACCTTTCATCCAGCACTGCAAAGGAAGAAGTCTAATCCAAAAGCCTTCCCATCAGGGTAATCATGGAGGGTTTTAGTTGTGCTCTACTCTCTCCTAGTCTTCCGATTCTTTGTTGGATCTGTTCATGGAACTAAACACTCGAGTGAAGGTGTTATGAAGGTCTCAAGAAGAGACAGACCCCATGTTTCGTGATGGAAGCAAGGCTATTTCTTAGTATGAAATAGAGAAGTACCTGTCCATGCATGCACAGTTACCTAGCAGAGGTTACAGCCTGACTGATGCTAGAACCTAATTTCTGGTGGAGGAAAGTAGTTCATCTATATAATGCAAACACGTTTGAGAATTCCTTAAAATAAGGAAGAAAATACAACAAGGAGCAAATACTTTGCATTTACACAGACTAACCACATCAGTTACACACATTTTGCCCATCTGAAGCCTCATTTGAAAGAGGGTCTCCATATGACTGAAATGATAGGAAAGGTTCAGATCACATTTCAGTGAGTTAACTGAAAAACAACGGGAAATGTTAATCATGTGAAGACAGCACAATGTTCACACCAAAGGAAGCAGAAGATAGAAGACAGCACAAACCCAGGTGTTCGGTGGGGGTGAAGGAAGAAACTATGCATGCACAAAAAAGGGTAGAAATGAACTGAGTAGCTTTTTTCTCATCAGCACTAGCAGTGACAACAATAAAGGCACACAGACATGCCATGCTTCCCTGCTACGGACTGTAGTGACTATACTATATAAACATAGTCCAATGCCCTCCATGGTCTCATCAGATCTCTACCTGGAATTGTGTACAGATGCAATTCTCTATGTGGGCACAAAAAAAGTTAGGGTAGGTAAGGCTACAGATACAAAAAGTGACCATGTGGGCTTCCCTAGATAGCCTTTAAAACCCAAAGAAGCTGCTCCTTCACCTCTGTGCTCCTGATCATCTGCTGCTCTGCTACAACCCAGCTACAATTTAATTTCAGAGGAAGGTAAGAGCAGATCAGGAGTTCTTGGCTGTTACCGAGCACATGACTGGCTTTTAAGTTCAACTCCCTTACGTAGTAGCCTTTCCCCTTGAGATATTTTAAATTAAAATCCAAGCTGATATAGGAAGAGATCACATTCCATCCTCTTTATTGAATGGAGGGAGACAGCATTCCTCCTCTCATTAGGCATGCGCTACGTGGATTGCTTGCGAGACACTCTCCTTAGTGCCAGAGGTTCATGCCAACGAACAGTTTAGTAAATCCTCCTCTTTGAGGCCAAAGGGCTGAGTGTAAGAAAAGGGCCAGGTTTCTAGCTAAAATTACATTCACCAATAAAGCTCACGAGAGGTCAAATTTTGCCATAACTCACTCTCTCCTCAGTAACTGATTTCCCCATCACTGGAGAAGGAGCAAAAGAAGAAGGAAAAATAAAATGTGTTTGTCTGGAAGCCCTAAGGGCTTGCAGTGCTGGAGGTGCAGAGCAGGTTCCTGGATTCTCATTTATCAACCTTAAAAGGGATGGAGTGATAAATGCACAACTGGCCCTTTAATATTTTATGCAGGTGCTAAAGCGACTTAGCTGTCACCTTCAATACATCACCAGAGGCTGATACACCAGCTTTCGTCACTCCAGGCTGGGAATTTTTACAATTTCATTTCTATTTCCCTCTCTTCAACATATTTCCACGTATTTCTTACTATGTGTAACATATAAGAAGCTATTTTCCCCAAATGATCTCCCCATTCTGACCATTCCTACTTATTCCCTCTTCAGCCACATTTCTCAAGCAAGAAATAACACCACGCTTTTGTTCAGGATTTGCACAAATTTTCACTCTCATCATTCAAGAGGCACAAAGCTCGGATCACTTCACATTCTGGCAAAGGCTGAAGGTCCCACCCTTTGTGAAAGGCAAATCTCCAGGTCCCTCCCTTTAAAGGCAGGCAGTGAGCAACTTTGACAGCAGAATGATTTACAAGGGCCCCCAAAACACTGGCGCACCTCGAAATCCTCCCTCCAGGAGAGTAGTAGCCCGTATCCTCTTCTGCCCGCACCATTCGTACTCTTCAAAGCGGTTGCCATTCTCGTTCTCGATGTCCACAGAGTCATCTTCAGTCATGCATGAACCTTCTCTCTGCACGGGGTAAAGCAGGGGCAGAGCATTGAGATGCATGATATAGCTCTTTGGGGTTAAAAACTCATGGTGGGATGGAGAAGAAAAGCTGGACTGTTCCCAGGATAGCTAAGTATAGAGCAGACAGCAGTATCTACTCCCGCCCCCATTCCCAGCAATCTAAATCTAGAAGTAAATGGGTGCTGGAAGAACTTGACAACCTTAAGATCAAAACAAGTTGCAAGGTTCATCATTTTTACACATGGAAATTTAAGCTCTGGTTCCTACAGCAATACTGGTGTGCATTTCAACATGCATTCCCTTGCCTTGCATACACCATTCCCCTATCATGTAAATCACAGATTCCTTTGACCCACAGCAGGAATGTTCTCTAGAGCATATTTTTGGGGCACACTGATTGAGAGACATTTCTCTTTACACCATGCACCTCTTGAGGCAACATGAATGAATTTGTTATCATGTCTGTTGTGAGCTTTTCCTGAGAAACAGGCACAGAAAGCCCTACGACACAACTCTCTCCCTCCCCTAGGGCTTGTTCCTCTTTCTTCCTTGCTGTCTTTGGGATGAACAGCAAGAGAATGGTTTTGCTTAAACACACTTCCTGGAGTAAAATGGTCATGCAACATTTACAAATGCCAGACTGTTAAAAAAGAACCCAACAAAAAGTAATTCTAATGTTGCAGAAAGAACTTTTCCTGCTGTGCCACACAGGAAGCATGAAGTCCTACAAAAGCCTTCATAAACTTCAACAGCTCTACCTTTACAGTCTACAACTTAGACTTTACTAACAGCAAAAGGGTGCGTGAAGTAAAAAAGTTACTAATGCAACACAGGACAAAAATCCATAAGAACCCATCTTTCAAGACAAAGAGAAGTGACTACAGATCTTAGGGAGACAGTTAGCACTGCCTGCAAGCTCAGGATTGTTAGTTTTTGCCCCATGTTAGGTCAGCTGCAGACAAAGCTGGGAGTAGGGAGAAGGGAATGGCAGCTGGCGATCCTGCTGCGCCTCTACCTTTGCAAGGCATTGTTCCACATGCCTACTCATCTCCTCCTCGGATCCTGACAGAGGTCGGCTGCAGAGGGGACATACCTGCCCTTCGTCTTGCTTCCTCCGTTTCATTTTTCCAATCCGAGCTGCATGGAGAAACCAGGGAAACAAACAAACAAAAAAAGGAAGACACGTCAAGTTTGTAGATCCACTCTTCTATCTACTCAGCTCCAAATAATAAATCCTTGGTATAAACAGTGAGATTTCACACCAGAAAATCCCACTGCAACAGAGACTGTTGCTTAGCACTTTCCAGATTAAATATGTAGCCTGTGGCTGAGTACAGCTTGATTTCAGAAAGGCAGCTACTCATGATTTAATAACTAAGAGAGGGAATATCTGCTACACATCCCCAGGTAAGTTATTCGAATGGTTAAATACCTTCTTTTGGAAGCCTGAAATTGTTTTCAAAGTTGAGTGATCAAGCCACCAAATCCTGATCTGGATTTTGCCTTCTAAGTTCCAAGACCCATCCACTAACATGTCTATTCCCTACACAAGAACTTGTTTAAACCATAGAATGATGAAGAATGCCCCAAAAGCCCTGGACAAGGTATGTAAGTGTCACTTCCAGGACCACAGAATCTCCTGATTAATTCCTTCCCAAAACATCACAAACAAGCAGAACAGCATCTTGGTAGCAGGTAACACTTAAGGACAGGAAAGATCTTTGCTGTGAAGAACACAGCACCTATGCTAGATAGCTTCTGGCGCTCTTATTTTTATTTCACTGTTTTCACATAGAGGAAAACTGGGGGCTACATGGCCTTCTTGAGGGTATGATCTGGGAAACAAACATGTTAAGAATCATGATGATTAGAAAAAGCAGCCAAGGTAGCCTGTTGCTTAATCCAATCTCTGGTTAATTTGAGCCATCATTTAATGTGATCAAAACATCTGGAACCAAATCATTTGCATTAAAAAGAACTTCTGTCCTTTATTATGATGGCTTTAGGCAGGTATTACTGAATAACTCAATCACTGGCTGCAGGAAAGTTGCTGTTTAATTAATAAGGAAGGTCAAAATTCTGAATGAGAGACAAGGAAAAGCCCAAGGAAAGCCCATGTGATAATGAGAGATGACACCACCAAAAAGCTGTGTTAACCAGAAATTGTTACTGACATTGTGAGCACTGCAGCATGCTCTGAAAGCCTTCATGCCTGAATACTGTGGGATCAACAGCTCCCTGCAGCCAGTGAGTCAGAGAAAACTGTTGGAATGCCAGGCAGAAAGGACCAGGGTATGGGAAAATTTCTGTCAAATGTTTCCAAAAGTGCATCAGTTTAGCCCACGCACATCACCAAGTGAATTACAAAGTTTCAGCTGAACACTCCAACACAGACCTGAAAGGCCTCTTTCAAGGCTTTCTTGCTGGCTTCCCTGGACTCAGAACTCTCTGGGTCAGGATACACTTTCCCACAACTCTAAATTAGGAGTATACTGATCCCCTACACCCTCTGATGCTCCAGGATTAAGGTGGCTTCAATTTATCCCCTAGGCATTGCTTTTCCTCACTGAATGAGACAGATTTGTGGGAAAACTCCCTGCAAAATAAATCTGGCATCATGAAAAGGATTCTGAAAATGTGACATGCTTAGAATAAGAGACAGAAACTTGAGACCAAAACAATAGTGGTTTTAATACCTGGCACTTTGAACAACAGAGACTCTCAAATAAATGCACACCATTTTCATCGTTTGTCTATATTTGCTGAATCCACAACCCTCTCGTGTTGGGTACACCATGCTGACAGCTGCACAGCCCAGCTGCCTCTCCGTGTACTTCAGATACTTCAGTATTCCTCGTGGGGTATCCCTTCTAATTTGTCTGCTTAAATCTGTTTTTTTACCTATACTGTCATCTTCGATTCCACTTGACTTCCACTCAATACAGAGGCAAACATCATGAAGTGGTATTGCTAACTTCATTGTGCCCAGATGAATTATGTTCCACTTTCAAACAAAACAATGACCCCAAACATGTCTTCTGTGTTTTCTCTTCCATTCCTGAACCCCAAAATGCCATCCCTCTCCCCTTCAACATCATCCAGCCCTGTTACAAAAGTTGTCGAATTTAAGCCATGCTTCTTCAGGTTTGTACTTTGCAGCACAAGACGCTTCTGAAGTTCTGGTTTAGTGCCTGAATCATCCAGTATGGCTCTTTTGCACAAGTTTAGGATGCTCTTTCCTTGCCTCACTCGCTCTGTAGAGCCAGCACAAAGTAAGGGAGAAGCCTAGAATCAGACAGAACTTGAGCATTCTCCAGCAAACATTTATCTGACCAGAGAAAAAAACACAGGAACAAAGCCTTCTCTATTCTGATCGCAGACACATCTTTCTCTCACCTCATCCTGTTTTTAAACATGTAGGGAAGGAGCAGTTTCATTATTCTGGTAGGACTCCCCATGGCCAATCAATTCAGTTAAGTCAGTTTGCCTGGCAAGTTTATTAGTATTTTTAACTGTTTTACTGGCATCCTTCTGTCCGTATACTGTAACAGTGATAAAAGGAAATACAACTTGGTTTAGGTCTTGCACTGATAAATTCTTGGGACCATTTTGCCAGAAAAAGCACCCAATCTGCCAAAAAGCAGCTCTTTAAGTTCTAGTGCCGCAAGTGAAAAAGTCACTGGAAGAAAGAGGTGTTGAAAACAAATCCGCCAGCCATTTTCGTTCTGTGGTCATTAGCAGCAGCAGTGTTGTGCCCACGGAGGCCCAAGGTGCCCATGGTGACAGGAGAAACGGAAAGGGAATGCTGCAGCCTCGAAAGCCCATCCTGAGCAGCACTGTCCCTACCCGACAAGACACGCAGCCCGGCTATCACTTCCAATCAGCACAGAAGGGACGGAGCGGCCCCAAAGGCAGGGGGTGATTGTGGCGTTGTCCCAAAGGGGAGCAGCTCAAAAGAACACGCAAGTGAGACCACAGGATTGTTAATTAGTGTTGATAGATGCGATCATTTCTAATTAGCTCACTAATCCCTCTCCCCTTGCTCCTGTCGCAGGAGCATGGGAGAGGGAAGAAAAGCCATTCCCTCTTGTAATTCAGGAAGATAAAAACACAGCCAGTGAAGGACTGGATGCAAGATGACGACAGAGCTTAGGAAAGGAAGATTTTGCACAAAGCTGACCCATTCTTATGTCTGACCGAACAAAGATGCTGTAGTTATTATTCCAGCCTTCTGCCAGGAGGTGAGTAGTTCACTAATTTTTATTAGCATTAATAGTTATTATTAGGCCATCAGAGGGCTTCCAGCACCTTTGAGGCTTCGCTTTTAACAGGCGTACGTTACCCTACCCACTGCATGTGCATGTTCTCTCTCAGGATACCCTAAACCATCAGGCAGCCAGCAAGTTTAAGTCACCACAGCATGTGAATGAGAGGAGTAGCACATAAAGCTAAGCAAAAATCGGGACCCTCTGCAAGGGTCAGGGTCTCAGTTATGGTCTCTGAATTGACTTTGGAGCTGTGCTGCCTAAGGAAGGTGCTCTTCCCTTTCCTAATAAAGGGTCTTTTGGGACTGCACAAGGTGATAAACTGCTTGCACTAGAGGAGGAACCAAATTGCACCTGACAAAGTCTCTACTGCTGAGGGCACACTGGCCCCTGCCTTCCCACAGATGCAGGGAGGAGCCAGCCACCACTGCTGCCTTATGGGTGGAAGAGACTGAGCATCTTTTCTCACATGGGCTCTCCCTATCAAGGTCAAACCTTACTATTGCCTAAAGGCCATGTTATTCTCTAGCCCAGCAAAACTTCCGGAGAAAAAAGGTAATGAATTTTAGTTTTCACTGGTGCTCCCCTCCCCGGGCAAAAATTCACCTTCAGGACAGGGCACTAATTACCTCAGAAGTGCTCTTACATAGCGTCTAGTAGTGGACACTATACAAACCCCTACCGCAGCATCAAAGGAGATGATTAAGTTACTAGCAATATCTCTTATGATTCCCTCCACCAGTTTGAGTGGTCTCCCGAGTCCCATGCAGACATCATTAGCAGCTCCTGCAATGGCAGGCCAATCAAATTAAGTGGAAACATTTTTGTCTCCTTTCCAGTGAAAATCATCTAGCTTTATTCCTCCCCCACCCATCAGCTACAAAAGCACGTGACATGCTGATGGTGGTTCAACAACAAACTGCATGGTGACCACCTCCGCTGCATGGTCACCACCAAAACAGGAATCAGCTTCTCAGGCAGGTGCAAAAGAAGCTTTGCAAGAACCTATTTACAACTCTACTGAGGATGCCAACTTTGCAAATACCCCTAAATTTTCAAGCACAAGAGTTAGCACCTGCTCTCTGCAAATCTACTAGAGGAGTCTTCAGGAGTGGCTATACCTATTTTTGATAAACCTGTCACAAAAAGCTTCTGTGGATGATCAACTTATCCAAAGCATCTAGTCCAAGGGAATAAAGGCCGCAATGGCAGAGCACAAAAAGCCATCTCAAGAACTGGCTAAAACAAGAAAACAGATGGTCAAGAATGAATACATTTCACACCTTATGTACAATTTGCTGCTCATCTACCAGGGAGAGAAAGATTATTAAGGGTAAAATTCACAGAAGGGTCTCAGTGGGGCTTTCACATTTGCATGGCCAAACTATCACAGAGATGATTTTCAGCAACCTTCAACCTGAGACTATTCTCCAGGGTTGGCACCTACTTAACCTGCTGAATCCACGTTCTGATACACTAAACCATAACTTTGTGCCTCTAATTTTGAACTACTATCTAGCCTGCTCTGCACTGCTAAACTCCATAAGCATCAATTTACAGGGTGGCTTAAAGTTTCCAGCTTGGCAACACTGGAAATAAGACAAATGAAAGAAATGCCTTCTTTATCACATGGGTTCATCAGGAATCAGCACCTCATACTGCTGGGTTCACAAGGACACAACCTCTGCAAAGTGAGTTTAGTACAGGTGAGAGGTGTGGGATTAACTCACTGACACTGACAGGGAAGTTCAGATACAAACATTCAACCGAGAGTCTAACAGACAGAACATTAATCTCCTGCTCCAGAGCTTGTAAATACATTCACCTTGCTTACAGTTCAATTTAAGTCAAAGGTTTGACTTACAGAATTAAAATTCCAGGCCGTCAGGTACCTGTGAAGCATGTATCTATCAGGACCTAATCATGCTGCAGCCAGGCCAACACCAGCTCACAGAAGACATCTCCCTCTCTACCTTCTCTTTCCTTAGTTCTTGTTGCACCTTCCCAAGTGATCACAACAAGAAGGAACACATCGAGGAGATCTGACAGGACTCAGGCCCAAAAAACTTGGGCAGCTGAGATATGAGTCGCAGATTATGTGGGAGAAGAGCAAACACTGTTGGCCCCTTTTTATGGGAGGAGTTGCCAGAAGTGATTCTGGAACTCAGCTGCTAAGAAGCTTGACAGAGATACCAAGATAAACTGATTACAACATTGAAAAGTACACTTAAAACATAATAAAAACAAGTGAAATAGATTTTTCTTTGACATTTTCTGTATCTTAAGTTTTTTCAGTGTGTCAATAAGAACATGAAACAAAAAGCCAGATCTTTGGACAAGTCCTACGTAAACTAACAGGGATAAGAAAGCCATTCTCACAGAGCAAGCTATAAAGTTGTGTGATTGATTAGAAGCTCATTAAAACACAAGATAAAGACAAATAAGCATTTTTTTTTCCCCAAAGCACACAATTCTCCATCTGGAGCAAAACTGCTTAAACAACTGTTTAATAATAATGTGGCAAAACTTATGAATTAAAGTTATTTTAGTGCAAACAAATGTGAAGGAGGAAGCAAGAAAGCAGGTTGAGTTCAGTGGTCACATATAAAGTCACATGAATAGAAAGCAGCAGTATAACCTACCCAACTGTCCAGCTGGATAATAATCTAACAGCATAGGACTGAACCAAGCACCACAGGTTTAGGTGATGTTCTGGTAACACCAGTAATCGGTCATAAAATGGTCATGAGGAACCAGTTCTGATCTATTTTGACCTTTTTTGTGATCCAAAGCCAAAGCACTTCAGCTAATATTTCTGTAGCCAGCTCCCAACAACTGGACCTAGCTCTGTTAGGATGTACAACAGAATGGGCAGGAAATACCAGTGTAATAAAGGCATTATATAAATTAACCAAATGCCCTCACCTGGAACATGACTGTTCTGCTCACTTTACCCCAAAAGGTACATACAAAAAGAGTGAAGGTTCAGCAAAAACAATGCAAATGCTGTATAAACTAGCAGCCTCCCTTTAGATGATAAGCCCAGGTTCACAAAAACATCCAAGAACAGGGCCCAAGAGGAGTTCCTAGATTTCAGTCTACACGGATGTAGTTGTGGTGCAGCCCTACTTAGGGCTAAAGTCAAAACCATAAAGCACTACTGAACCAGTTTAGCAATCGAGAACCTCACAAGCCTGAGACCTTTTTTTTTTTTTTAAATTAAGGTAACTGCACATTGTTGGCCTGAAAAAGGTAGAAGGTGGGACCTTAGTCTCATCCATTCGAAAAAGATAAAGAAATGGCTTGATACCACTGATTTCAGAGACCTGTCACATCAACAAGTTACCGCAGAGCAATACTTCAGTGCATTTCAGCCATCTGAAGTCTCTGTTTCAGGAAATGGGTCTGCCTGCCAACGCCAGCAGCTCACCGCACTCATCTTGGGGTGCAGATGTGAGCACGCCTGCCAGCAGTTACCTGGTGCAAGGCGACTCATCTCTTTGTTGTATGACTTAACAGGCTTTCAAGAGTTCACAGGTTTTTGGCCCCCAGGGTTGATATTTAAAAATCTCCAAGCTAGCTCTGAATTCAGTTATGTATAACTTGATCTTGAGTCAGCACTTCTATCTGCATAAGACTATGCTAAACATGTCGTAGCTCAAATTCAAGCAAACTATTTTGCTATCAATACACTCAAAAGCCTTTTGCTATTTTGTTAAAGTATCTATTTTCTTCTAAATAAACTGCATGAGCACAATGTCACTGCTGTTATCTCAAACTATCACAGCAGGAAGCTCAGAATTAACAAGCCTCCTGATAGCCTGAACAATGAAATTTTGACTAAATGGTACATATTAGAGTAGCTATAAGCAATGTAAAATCAATGACAGAATATTGTTACTATTTAAATGGTAAGTTTCTGAACTTCGGGAAGAGAGTTTCAACTTATGTAAAAAAAGTATACTTTCAGCTTTTTACAAGCACAGAAATGGGTCTTTCTGAAATAAGGTGACCTCTAATTTGTTTTTTAAACACCAAGACACTTTTTGCTAGAAATTCTTCTTTACTTGTTGTTAGGAACACCCAGAAATACAAGAATAAAAATAACACACCAGCATCTGTGGGTTTGAGAGGTAAAAAAAAAAACCACACCAACACAAAACATGACGTCAGATTCACGGACGCTCAGACTGCTGGTTTAAAAGTTTACTGCAAGGTTCTGCCATGTGAGCCGTGAAAGCACAGCAGCCTGGCCTCATAACTGAAAATACAGGATTCAGGGCCTACTTATAAACTCGCTGGTGGGATCCCAGCGGCGAGAATCGCTTCCCGCAGGAAGCCAGGGGCGAACGCGGAGAGTTTGACCCCAACACACCCTGCGCACCACCAGCCGCACGTCGAGGCTCCGGCGAGGCAGGTCGCAGCTCCGACCCTGCCGAGGGGAGTGTGTTTTACACAACTCGGCCCAACTCCGGAAAGTTTTGCGGAAAGGGGGAGGCGCGGGAGGAGGCCCGGTGGGGCGGGGGCAGCCCGAGGCGCCGCGCGGGACCGCACTCACCGTTCAGCCGGGTCTGCCGGTTCGCTCGCACCCGCAGGAAGGTCTGCAGAGGGGAGACAAGAGCGGAGAAATGTCAGAGCCCCCGGCCCGCGGGCGCCGGACGTAAACAGCTCGCCCCTCGCCAATAAACAAGGCCCGAAACGGTCCCCCCCGCCCCGCGCAT